GACGCCCCCCTGCCACAAACAGAGAGGTTACCAGTCAGGTGAGTCTCCGTCCTGGGAACACGACCTGTAAAGTGGTGGCCTGAAGGAGAGGCCAAGTTCAGGAGAGGGGCTGGCAGTGTGGGCACAACAGAAATAAAGGCAGCCCCTGCTCTTCCAAGCTGGAGAGGAGGGGTGGGAAGCTGCCCACCTGCCAGGGCCAGACTCCTGGGAATCCCTCTGGGCTGTGGTAGGGTGGTCAACAGAGCTCAGCCTCTGTGGGAAGGATTCTGCTAAAACACACATGCTCTGAGTAATCGCCGCGTCTGTGAGTGGGGGTGAGGGAGCTTCTCCTACGTTTCTGTCACAGAGGCAAGGAGTGACTTACTAGTATGATCGGTACATTTGGAGAAAATACCGTCACACTTAGCTCCATCCTTCCTGTTGAAAGTGAGCCTGCTCGCTGAGAGCCTGGGGTGTGCTCCACTCTCTAAGGCCCAGCTCGGCCTCCGCTAGGGAAGAGCCTGGAGTTTGGTCTGCAGGCCATCTGGCTCCTGCCTATTCTTTCTCCAGGGTCAGGGTTTCCAACCTAACTTCTATTATTTAATGAAAGTGATATTTATTTATTCTTTCATTTGTCCCATAGTTAGTTTTCTCAGAATTAAAATAAAGAGTGACTTTGGTAGGGCCAGCAGGTGGCATAGTGGTTGGAGTGCTGGACTTTCACATGGCTGACAGCGGTTCAAGTCCCAGACCTGGAGGCTTGAAACTCAGTGCCAGGCGTGTGTGCATCCCAGGAGGAGAATAGAGGAGAAGAGATTGCAGCCTGGCCACCCTCCTGGGGGTGGGGGATGTAATTATTCATTTTTCCTCTCACTGTCTTGGCCTCACCAGGTAAGTGCACGGCACCCTATGGCAAAAACCTTTAAGAAAAAAGAGTGACATAGAGTGTTTATTAGAACCCTCGCCTACACATTTGCTACATATTTACCGGCCCGGGACTACTGTCTACAATTTATGCAGAAGGTCAGCCGTGGCCTGGTGGTTAAGGAAGCTGGACCTCACATGGCCCACCTCTGGGTTCAGGTCCTGGCTCCTCTGGCTTTAAGAATATGCACACACATGCATGCCTACAATCCTAAAGGAAGGAAGAGATGGAGAAGAGATTGTGGTGTGACCATGTCACACGCCCCACAATAGGTGCTCTGTCTCCCTCTCCCACTCCATCTCTCTGGTAAGCACACGCTCCTGACAAATTTTATTTTATTTTATTTTTTAAAGAGAGATTTTTGCTATAGGGTATGTGCACTCTCCAGAGAGAGAGAGAAAGAGAGACAGAGAAAGAGAGACACAAAGTGAGAACTTACTTCCCAGGGGGATGGCCATGCCACAACCCCTTCTCCTCCATTCTCAGGATTCTGGACATGCACACTCACATGCCTGGCATGAATTTCAAGCCATCAAGTACAGGACTTGAACTGTAGTCAACTATGTGGGAGTCCAGCGACATAACCACTACACCATCTGCTGGTTCCTATTTTTTTTTTTAATAATTATTTAATTTTATTTGTCATTTTCATTCTTTTTTTTTTGGAGAGGTTTTTCACTATAGGGCGCATGCGCTTGCCAGACAGAGAGACATAGAGACAGAAAGCGAGAAATCACCCCCAGGGGGGGTGGTCACGCCGCAATCCCTTCTCCTCCATTCTCCTTTCGGGATCTTGGGCACGCACGCACACGCGCCCGGTGTGAGTTTTAAGCCACCGGGTCCGGGACGTGAACCGTGGTCGACTACATGGGAATCCAGTGACATAGCCATTATGCTAACTGCTGGTTCCCTATTTTCATTCATTTTTAATTTGACCAGAGAGAAAGGAAGGGAAAGTAAGAAAGCAAGCTTCCAGGTCCAGGACTCAAACCGTGGTTGGCCATGTGGGAGTCCAGCACCCCAACCACCACGCCACCTGCAGGCCCTTCCTGGTAAACTTAAAAAAGAACTTAAGGCAGTAACTCTGTAGGCAGAGGAACAGAGCTTTCCAGAATAGGGCAGAAAGCATGTGACCACTTCTAGGCGGCTCACCTGAATGTTGTACTGGTGGGCGGTGTCCAGAATGGCAGGCACCAAGTCGTCTGAGGGTTCCCCATTATCATCAGCCATACCAGGCGGGTACCAGGACAGGACCAGGACACCTGAGACACAGCACAGAGGCCACTTCAGAGACACAGTGTCCCCCTCAGCAGAAATATATTTCTCACAAGCCATCTCCAACTGCAAAACGATTTCTGAAAACTTGGAGCGCGCCTCCAGCCAGGTTCACGGCCTGCAGAGCCGACGCCGATCTGGCGCCCTGGAGCTGTCCACGCCCGCGGTGCTGAAGCGCCGCTGCGGGAGCCGCGCCGGCCGAGGCGCCGAGCTTGGGGACTTAAATCAGCAAGTAGAACAAAGGGAAGGGGGTGGGCGGTGCCACACCCACCTAAGCCACAGTCCTCGCTCTGAAGAGAGACCTGGGAGATCCCACACGGAAAAGAGCCCTGAGCAGAGGTCGTCCCGTGCTTCCCGGAGGGGAAAACTATGGACTGCAAAATCCTGAAGGACAGCCTGTCTTGGCAGTCTTTGTGTACGTCCCACCTCTGCCATTTCAGTCCCCCTCACAAACCATCTCCAGGTGCATTCCGGTGTACTGTGAAGTCCAGCAGAATTCAGACAAAACCTGAAACAAGTGTGCTCCCCTCGCCCCGACCGGCCGGCCTGCTCAGGAGGCTCCCGGGACCTCTCTTCTGGCCGCTTCCTTGATGAGAAGCTCCTGGGACCCTCCCACTGCAAACAGAGCAGGGTCTGTCATGACCTGGGCAAACGTTCCTCTCTGTAGTCCCCAGAAGCGGGAATGGCTGCTGCTCACCCTTACCTGTGGGAAAGCAGAGGTCATCCAGGCTCTGCCCCGAATTCCGACTACTGCGGGCCCGGCCCGGAAGCCCGACAGATCTGAAGCCCGCCTGGCCTTCCCTACCTGGGACAGCGCTGACGCACTCCGGGCAGCCCGCCCTGGGTGGGGTCCTGGGCCCAGGATGAGAGTGGGCGGGAAGGGCTAAGAACCAAGCAGGTGTGCGAGTGGAACCAAGGCCCAGTGGCAGGACCAGCCAGGGCGAGGCGGCACAGGGCCGCGGGGGTGCGGGGCGCTCACCGATGGCGGCTTCCTTCAGCTGGGTCATGTGCTCTCGCAGCACGTCGGGGTCTCGGGAGCTGTAGGGCCCCAGCTCCGGGTAGAAGCTGGAGCCCAAGTCGTCTGGGGGGTTGTGGCGGCCTCGGGGGTAGCTGGCCGAGATCTTGGGGTCCCAGTGCGGGACCATGACGTGGTCCCAGTGAATGTAGTGGCCCTCGCGCCGCGGGCTCCCGTACCACGAGTAGTAGAAGGCATGCAGGTCCGAGAAGACGCGCAGACTCGGCCCGGGGGCG